AGGTGGGGCCAGGACTCGACTTTCTTTAACATTCCCAGGGTGCTTTTCCCTTCCCCTTAATCTGTCAGCCACTGAAAGAGCAGAGGGAACCCAGCCAGCTCAGACTTGGGAATAGTATCGGGCAGTAGAGCATCTCTTCAGCAGGCAGGAGTGATGGCTAGGGAAGGGCCAGCAGGAAGCGGTGACCAGTGGCTTTCGGCTATAAAAAAAAAAGAGCCTCAGCAAATGCCAGCCAGCACTGGAAGCAAAGTCAGGCTAAACGCCCCCACCCCTCCAACACACACACACACACACACACACACACACACACACACACACTCACACACACACACACACACACACTCACACACACACACACACACACACACACACACACACACCCCAAACCCAACAACATAGCCTGATTATAGTTCTGTCTAGAGATCCCCGGCTTTTAATTCTCAGATTTAATAGGAAAAAACAAATTTCTTCTTCCTACACTCAACACCTCTTTAGATATACCTCCCCCCCCCCCGCCCCCCGTACCTCTTATTCAATCTGTACTTTATCCAAAGGGATTATATGGAATATTTAGTCCAGGAAGAGAAAGGATATGGAGCAGCAAGGGGGGAAGGAGGAGGGTGGGAGAGCCATGGGGTTGCCATGGAAACCCTGACTGCTGCAGGGTCTGAATGGTTTTCTGTTTGCTGACGTCCAGTTCTTTAGGGCAGACCCTGGCATCGGGAGGGGCCTGGACACCACATCCTGTTTCCAGCATCCGGCCCAGTGGCACCCACCCCAGGAGGCCTCCTGATCGCAGGCAGGGTGTCCGGGCTTGAATGCTTCCTCCTGACCCCTTGTCCTGCTGCCACTGCCCTCCCCAGCTGGGGAGTGACAGGCAGCAGAGGGTGTTCCCCAACTCTTTGAAGAGAGAGCCCTTGTTTTCTCTTGCATTTTATTCTTTCTTCCCTTGTCATCCAAACATGAACCTTTGGCCATTTGCCTGTCTCCGAGCTGGCCAGCTGGCCTCGCCATTCTCAGTTCTGAATTTCTTTTTAATTCACAGGGACTACAGAGTTTGTTTTCATCCAGTTTAATACACTGGGCGAGCTCCTGGCTCCAGTTTGTTCTCTGAAGTTTTGCTTGTAGCAGCTGATTAGAAAAACTGGGATGACCAACAACCAAATGATCCCAGGAGAAAGGTTTATTAGTCTCAGGTTAGTTAAGATCCGGCCTCTATGTGTCCGCTCAGGCTGTGTATGGAGTTTATGTCTCCACACTGTAGGTGACCATCTCACATACCATTTCCTCCAACTGCCAGTTATTGTACTTTCACATACCTAGACCTTTCCACAGGGCTCTCCTTCTGCTTGGCAAGTCCTTGCTGCCCATTTTTACGTTGGCTTACCAAAAACCTTACCAGAGATATACAGAAAACTCAGTGTGGAACCACTACTTAGATCCAGAGGAGAGAGATACATTTCAGAAGAAAGCTCTTATACAATTTGGTTCTCATGTTTCCTGGTATTTCCATGTATCTGATTATATTTGAGTAATCTAGGCAAACAATGATCTGATAAAGTCTTAAATTAAACAACTGAGTCCCAAGTTCTTTACAACAGAAATGATCCCATCATTACAGAATCTTAGGATGCTCATTCCCAAATCCTGAAACACCTAGATCGGGTTGAGTTTCACACACCCTTTGGACCTCATTTTTCTCATCTATAATGCCAAGGGTGGATAAAGTCATCTCTGAAATACCTTCCAGCTTTAACATTTTGTGATTTTTTTTTTTAAATCAAGATAACTGATAATGACCTTTGAGTGCTTTGTACAATTCTCAGTGTCTCTGGAGCTCATTGTGGATGCTCTAGGGCCAAAGAGAACCCTGGATGGAAACCCTAGCTTTGAGCATCTCAAGTTTGTGTTCCCTCTCAGAGCATACAAAGTCAACATCTTCCCACATCATAAAGTCAGATATGGCTCAAAATCCTGTGGAAAAAGAGCATAATGTAGGACCAAATACACGAAGAGGAGAAGAGAGACTTTCAGGACATGATGTGGCTCTTTGGTCCAGCAAGGAGTGATGCTGAGGGGACCAGAGGGAGGTATGACTATTTCCAAGAGCACATGACTTGAGTGTGTCTGGGAGAGAGGGAATTAGGGGGTGAAGAAAATGTGGATTGAAGCTAAAATGAGTTGAGAAGAAGAAATGCTGAGATAAACAAAGGAAGAAGATGGGAAATAGAACAGGCAGCCAGGAAAATGTAGCAGAAAGACCATGAGCCTAGCAGTTAGAAGACAATCTATTTAGCTCAGGTTGACCACTAACTAGCTGTGTGAACCAGAGCAAATCTGTTAACATCTCTGGGCCTCAGTTTCTGAATCTGTAAAAATAGAACTAATAGCACCCTCCCCATAACAACGGGACTATTTGTCAGAGTAAAATATGCTTACGGACAAGGAAGTGCTTGAAAATAGTATTTAAGATGAATGGAAGTAGAAATGAGTGTATCAAAGGCTCATGAACAGTTATGGAATAATATAGCAAAAAATGCTTTCACATTAAAGAAATACTACCTTGAATTTATAACTCATGAGGAAATGGATCAAAAAGGTCAGGAAAAGGTTTTTTTCCTCACCAAAGGTTTGGTCACATTTTCCAATTGTTTAAAAGAAAAAGATTAATAAATGTTATCTTTATGTTACCCAAAGGTGACTTACAGGAACTGCCATGGTTGGGCCAGGACAAGGAGTTGATGGATCAAAACATGCCTTTGATAGAGATAAGTCCCAGGTAATTACAGTCCTGGAAAGGTTACCTAAACTCAAGGCCTTTGACTGAAATATCAATCACTCACATATCCAGCGGGGAAACAGAAAACCAAGGACCCAGCAAAACCCAAATCCAGAGAGAGGACAGCTTTGAAAGAGGTTGACTAAGCTCATCACCAGATAAGAACAGGACTTAGAGACAAAACACTGACAGAAAAAGGATAGGCAGCTGCTGTTGTTGTTTTAAGGCTCAAATCCAAACCCTCACAGGTAAATGGGTCAGGCTTCTAAAGTTGACTAAGTATATCTTCAGAGCCCCTTCTTTTAGGAGGTGCCACCTCTAACCCTGACCTTGGTTGAATATCCTGCCACCTGGTGTTTCCCACTTTGCTCCAAGCCCCCGTGCTGGGCCTGCCCGACTTTCCTTTCTGCTTTGGCATCTCCATCAGTACTCCATGTTGTTGGACTCCCACCCTGAACCTCTACTGTCCAGCCCCCCATCTCTCTGGATTAAAGTTTACTAAGTTGTTCAAGCCACATGTTAGCCAAGCCCCAGTTACATGCAAATGGAGGCAGCAGGCCCTCCAGGACCAGCTCTTATGCCTCCTCTCTGGGGTCTGTAAACTTTTTCTGAAATGAACCAGATAGCAAATATTTTGACTTTATAAACAACATGGTCTCTGTCTCAACTACTCAACTCTGCTGTTGAAAAAAAAAAAAAAATAGCCACAGACAATATGTAAACAAAGAGCATTGCTATGTTCTAATAAAACTATTTTTGTGGATCTAAAATTCAAATCTTATCTAATAAAGAGGGAACATGCTAATTGACCATCACACCCTCACAAAGATGGTGATGCCCACAGCCAATAAGGAGGGAATATGCTAATTGACTGCCATGCACTCAAATATGGTGGCACCAACAGCCACAAAATTGCGGCACCCAGTCCCCTCAGCTGCACCTGGGCACCTGCCTCCAGAAGTTCCCCAGTCCCCTCAGCCCTCCAACCCCCCAGGGCAGGCCTGAGGCACAGGCAAGCATAGCATGGCAGTTGCTCAGCTACCCAGAGGCACCTGAGGCTCAGGTAACCAGGGCCAGCCAAGGCTTGCACTGCTGGCAGTGGCAGCAACAGAGGTGTGATGGGGGCCTTGTCTTCCCCTGATCACTGGGTTGCCTCCTGCCCCTGAGGGCTTCTGGTCTGTGAGAGGGGGCAGGCTGGGCTGAGGGATCCCCCCCTCCAGTGCATGAATTTTCATGCACTGGGCCTATAGTTTCATATAATTTTCATGTATCATGAAATATTCTTCATTTCATTCCCCTCCTGATAGTTTCAACATATAAATACCATTCTCAGCTAGTGGGCTGTACAAAAACAGGCAGCAGAGCAGATTTGGCTCTTAGGCAGTTTGCAGACCCCAGGTGCACTGTCCAGATGGCTCTTGAGAACTAGATGTGGCTAGTCTGAATTGAGATGCATGGAAGAATAAAATATAATCAGATTTCTAAGACTTAGTAGAGAAAAAAGAGACTATAAAATCGTATTTTTATGTTGATTACATTTTGTAATGATAATATTACAAATTTATTTTTAATTTTATGTTTCTACTTCCTTCTTGAAATATGGTAACTAGAATATCCACTCTTCTGTATGCAGCTTGCAATATATCTTTGCAGGAAAATGATGCTTTGGAGGCGATGCCTGGGCCTTTGCTTAGTTAATTCCTGGGTTAATAGAGCACTGGTAGGGATAAGGAGATCTCTCATCTCATGAAGGATAATCTAAGAGGTGAAGTGCTTTCCCATTGATTTATATACAGAATATCCCCCCCCCCAAATGTATACACACTTTAACAGATGACAGTTTAATTTTGAAAATGAAATGTATTTTAATAAACACTGCCTTTATAATTATTCATAGTATGTGTATTCCTTTTTGGGGACACCCCATATATTTTATGTATTGACCAGTATGCAAGTATCTAAAATGATCTAAAATGATATAAGCCCTTATAAAATAGATACATACTCTGCCCTCAAGTAGCTATCATCTAGAAGAAATATGAAATGTTTAGTATAGCTAAAATCTAATAGAGGAAGTAAAAAGTACCATATGAAGTATCCAAAGGCATATTGTCCTATGATCTTTTCACATAAGAGTGAAATCACTTCCATCTGGGGGCATCAAAAAACGGCTTCAAGGAAGGGATAATGGGCCCATCTTTGCAACAGTCAGAAAGTGTAGGGCCCTAGCCAGTTTGGCTCAGTGAATAGAGCATTGGCCTGTGGACTGAAGGGTCCCAGGCTCCATTGTATTCAAGGGTAAATGCCTGGATTACAGGCTCAATCCCCATAGGGGGCGTGCAAGAGGCAGCTGATCAATGATTCTCTCTCATCATTGATATTCCTATCTCTCTCTTTCCCTTCCTCTCTGAAATCAATAAAAAAATAAAAATTAAAAATAAATAAATAAAAAGGACATCTCTTAAACAAAAGAAGAAGAAAGTGTAGGTTTTGGCTATCAGAAGATAAGGAACAGATGGAGAACAGGGAAGGGATTTCAGTTTGAAGGGAAACTGAAGGCATAGACAAGAATCATTTTAAAGTTATTGGTTTGCCTAGATTATGGGGTCAGGAAGAGAGGTCTGAGACTGCTGCCTTACAACAACTGAAAACATAACTTTTTGGCATGGTAGGATGAGGCCTTAGGCAGGGGTCCTCAAACTTTTTAAAGTGGGGGCCAGATCACGGTCCCTCAGAGAACTGGAGGGCCGGACTATATGAACTACTAATTCCTACTGTAACACCTCGGCTGCGCTCACTGCCCAAAAAACCTGGCGGGCTAGATCAGACTCCTCTGCGGGCCGCATGTGGCCCACGGGCCATAGTTTGAAGACGCCTGCTTAGAGTTTCTATGAGGGGGAATTAGAATTTACAAATTTTGGAAATTTAGAATTAAGGACTTATCTTTAAAGATAGAATATAGTAGCATTAGCTCAAAATAAGAGGCAACACATAGCACATACTAATATGATTAAAATAAAAATCATTTGTGCAAGGAGAAGATTTAGTTTCAAGAAGAATTTAATTGATTTATAGGTAATAAGACGGTCATGGTTGTTGAGAGAACAAAACAGTGTTTGGAGAGCCCATCTCCAATCTTATGTGGCTAGTGCCTTGCAGAGTATGATTCATCCCCAAAAGTCTTGACCTTAACTGGTTTAAAGCTTGGGTCTGAGCTTCAGACATCTGGGTTCAAGTCCTTTTCAGTAGCATGCAAGATATGTGAGCTTGGGCAAATTACTTGTATCTCTAAGTTTCAGATTCATTTGTAAAATGGTGACAATGATAACCATCCCTCAGTATTGTTATGTGAACAGTGAATTAAATAAGAAAATGCTTGAGACATTCTTAACACAGTGCTAGTACTGCATAGTAGATGTTGGCTGTTCTAACTATTTATTGAGTTGAATGGGCCACAGGCCCAATTTGGGGTGACATTTATGTTATATGAATTCAGGATTTCAAAGGAATCGGGGATTTTGTCAGAGCTTGCCTTCAAAAGGGGCTAGCAGGTGTGTGTTTTGTGTGTAACATGCTCAGCAACATACCCAAGGGCTGTTACTACTTGTATGTGTAATGTTGAGTGACCTGGATAACACATTAATTGGATTTTCTCTACCTAAAGTCTTCAACGGTCGAGCTAAAAAATCCACACAAGACTAATCCTATCTTGTACCCTTGGCTGGGCTGAGACTCTGAGGGTTTTGAGAACAAGAGCTGAATACGTCAGCTATAAGAATGTCTGGGCCAAACACACATGGCCTGTGCAAATGTAATATTGAGCAGAGATTAAAATAACAGGGCTCCATGTCTGGCCTGGGCGGAAAGAGAATGCTAAAATTGCTTGTCAGGGTGGGAGTTAAGGAAAATGAACATGGGTCAGTGAGAGATAGTCAGAACTGGAGGCCACTATGATCCTGTCTGGAAATGCTGGATTCAAAGCTGAATTCCAAAACCAAAAATGTACTCAGAGCTGGGCTGCAAGGAGCAGTCCTAAGAATCTCTAAAGAAAGGCAGTAGATAAATAACAGAGAAGTACACTGCAGTGAGTCCATAGAGCTGGGCCCAGCTCTTCCTGCCCCTTCTAAGTGCTCTTTGTCACAAGGCCTATGACGTGTGGGGAAATCGGTTATAATGAGATTCTCCCTGGCAACATGAAGTTGGGGCCCCTCAGGACTTCCCTGGGACTACTGTGAGTTCACTTCTCAGAGCACTGTTCATCTCCCAAGGTGAGCTTCCCCATGAGGACTTCTGCCCCCAGCCCTTGGGGAACACCCCCCAAAGAGACCTCCTTCACTCCCCAGGTGCTCCCATCAAAAACAGCTCCCTTCTTCCCCATCTTCCTGGCCCTCCTCAAAGCCATCCTCCCCAAGCTTCCCCTGAATTTACGTCTCGTCACAGTTTTGAAAAGAAACACCAGCACTCAGGCAGAGTCAAGGTTTGAAAGACATGAAACGGAGTTAAAAAAAGTATGACCTTGGTAGTGACAATAACAATCAAAATGTTTACCCTTCCTGGGCTCCATGTAGGACTAGGCCAGCATGAATCTACAGGGGGCAGACATCCCACCCTGGTCCCCAGCTCTGAAGCCCAATCTCATGGGAATGACTAAGGCACAGTTATAACCTCAAATGACATTTTGGTCCCATTGAGGCAGAAAAGCATAGAGATATAGAGCAGGCCTTGGGCACTGATGGACAGACCTGAATTCCAGTCTTGAACTCATCATAAATAGAATAATCTTAAGTCACTTAACCTTGATGAGCCTCAGTTTTTTCAGCTGCAAAGTGGAGACAAAGTATATAAGTTATTTGGTTATTATGAAAATTAAAAAAAAAAAATCCTGGCCATGGCTGGTGTGGCTCAGTTGTCCCATGCACTTAAGGGTCATGGGTTCAATTCCTGGTTGGGGTATGTGCAGGAGGCAATGTCTCTCTCTCACATTGGTATTTCTTTCTCTCTCTCTCCATCTCTATTCTTCTAAAATCAATGAGAACATATCCCCCAGTGTGGATTAAAAAAATATTAATCCCGTTTGGTACAGTTAATCCCCAGTAATTGATAGCTGATGTCAGAAGTTACCAAGGACCCAATAATGTGTCTTCCAAGCTGCCCAAACCATGCAACGAATTTCCAATATCAGCAAATATTTTAATTATATGAACCATATGGTTTTAAACTTATGTGAACAACTAACTAAAACTTATTTTGAATATTATATAGAGATCCTTTGAAAATGAAATAAAATATTTTTGCAAGTGTTTATCTAGCCTGGGATACAGAGGGGAGCAGATGAGAAGCCTGTTTCCATAACTGTCCAAACATTACCAGGTAACTCAGCATATTCCAAGACTAGATTTCAGAGATTGCTTCAGAGAACTTATGAAAAGAGAATTTTGTTAAGCAAAAGTCACTTTCATCATTTTAGTTAGGATCTGACTCTTTATAACCAATCTTACAAGGGAAAGTAGTTAAATCTTTCAATCTTGCTTTCTAATCTTTCTAATTCTATACTCTAGTGTGTGGAAATTTAAAATCCATGAGAACAACTAATGCTACTGCAGTGACCGCTGGTTATTATTACAGCTAACATTCCTTGAGAGCTTACTAAGTGCAGGCCTAGAGATGTCATAAGTGTTTTGCATGTATTAACTCATGCCATTGTCAGAACTCTAATGGGTGCTAATATTAGCGCTATTTGATAAGCTGGGAGCTAAGGCACACAGATGTGGGGGCACACAGCTCGGTCTCCCAGCTGCTGAAGGGGGAGCTGAGACTCACATGCAGTCTGTCTGGCAGTTGTGCCTGGCAACAGCCTCCAACAGATATGTGCCTCATCATCCTTCAAGTTTAGTCACAGTTCCCAACTCAACCATTGGTAACAACTTACGTTTTTGTTTTTGTTTTTTGGCTCATGATGGCTCAATTTATGATTTTTCAACCTTATCATGGTGCAAAAGTGATATGCATAATAAATGACATGAGATATTTAATGCTTTACTACAAAACAGGCTTTGTGCTAGATAACCTTGCCCTACTGCAGGTTAATGTAAGTGTCAAGAGCTCATTGAAGGTAGGCTGAGCTAAGCTGTGATATTCCATAGGTTAGGTGAACTAAATGCATTTTTGATTTGGGATATTTTTAACTTATGATGGGTTTATTGGGATATATCTGCATCATAAGTGAAGGAATAGCTGACATTAAGCCAAATACCCGTATTTTACTGGAATATTATAAACTCCTTTTTCTCATTGAGAAGGTTATAATCATAAGTTGATTAGATTTGTTGCTATGTGCAAAGTACTAAATATATTGTTTCCATAATTTCATGTCATCATTTCTCTATTTTTATGCTTACTTTTTATTTACAAAAGTGATATTTATTTTACCCTGACAGTGAATCTATAAGCTTTCCTTCTGGAGCAAACTGGTTTAAGTTAAGGCATTTAATGGCATGACTAGGGTGTCTGGGCATGGTCAAAACGAGGCTATGGACCAAGGCTTGTCCAGCAGCTCACAAGCCAAACAGCTATCTCTGGTCAGTGAGCCAGTGTTTACCTAAACATGTCTAAGCAGCAGATGACATGAGGCTGAGGCTGGGGTACCCCAGGCAAGCTCACCCTCATCTGATCCCATGATCCTCTCGGAGGCCAGTCTCATGTCTGACATTCCTAGTCACCTTGCTACCAATTCCTGTGGAAATGTGATGCGGCCAGAAGAGACTCCGGTCCCCTTGTTGGGATAAACACAAACACGCTTTCCTTGTTAACTGTTCGTGTTTTTGTTGAAAATATTTATTTTGATACTGCTCTAGAAGGGTGGACATTTTTCAGGTGTTGCTCCACAGCTGATTTCTTATCTAATGCTGCCAAGAACAAGAAAGCAGAGAATAAAGTTGAAGCAGATGCCAGGATCAATAAACATTGGATTGAATTATTCTTTTAAACATTTCAACCCTGCCCTTATCATGGACATTACCACTTGTGTAATTTTCTTTTTAAATTGCATTTTGTAAGAGAGTTAGAAAAGGGAGCAATAGCGGCCTGGGAAACAGGGTGTTTACTGCCTAGGAACCGGGAGGTCACACGGGGCTGGCTGGATTAAGAAATGACAGCTCAGCACGGAGAAAGAGGGGGAGGGGGCAGACGATCAGCAGCAACGAAGCAGGAACAAAACATTTTAAAAGGGATCTGGCCAGAACTAGTCCGCACAAATCACAAATTCAGCCCAGTCTTCTTCCTCCACGCTTCTGGATGCAGCCAGAGACTTGTCTCCTCTGCCTGCAGCCCCTTCTCCGAGCCAGCTGTGCACCCCGCTGAAGGCAGACCATGTGCGAGGGAGGGTGAGGAGTGGAATGGGAAAGACAGCTCAGCTGGCCGGCCCTGACCCTTGAAGAAAACAGAGGCCGGGAGGAAAACATACTGTTCCCTGCAATCTGATCACCTCCGTGCAAGCCTCTGGGTTACACACCCTGGGACGTCTAGGCCCGGAGGCAAGAGGATTAGGCCAAGCAGGAAAACCCAGCGCGCCTGCTGACTGTTCCCGGGCAGACTAAAAACACATGGCTGGAGAAGGGGGGAGAGGGGACCCGAGGGGTGAGCGTGTATATGGCATGCGGCTGGAGGCAGGGTGTGGGGCTGGGGCAACTGGGCCAGGGAGGGGGCAGAGGAAGGACTGAGGATAATAATGCTCTGCTTGTGAGCTGAGAGCCCAGCTCCTGGGGTGGCCCCTGGCAGCAGCCTAGGCCTCACAGTGAGAAGTCTGCAGCAACAAAGGCTCTGGGACAAAAAGGGTCTCTGGCCAGAGGGGCTGTGGGCTTGATGGGGCCAAAAGCACTTCAGCTCTGAGGGGCACAGATCCACCAGGTGTGTGTGAGGCTGGAGGCAGACTGACACAGGGGCTTCTTGAAGAAAGAGAACCACGATTCTTGGGCATTCACTGGGGCAGGGTGGGCACTATGCAAGGCTCTTCTTAGAGTTTGGGATCACAGTGTGGAATTCTCACTGAAGTGGAAAATGGGAAGCAATTCCCTCAGGTTACTGACACCTAGAGTTCCCTAATAGCCCATCAGTGCATTTTGAAATGTTAGCTAGGGCCCAGCTGGGAATTTTGTCACTAGAAAACCAGTATAGTATGTGCCCCTTTAGTTTCCAACCAGAGCAAGGCCATTGAGAGGTATGAGGATCAAAGTATGTCTTCATGCCTATACCTCTGAGCTGTCACCCAGGGACCGTCAGCCCCTCAAATTCGCCTTTTCCCCCAGAGCTCCTCACACCTGCTGAGCCACCACTAAAATTCTCCCGCAGCCTCTACTCTAGCGCCACCTGGTGGCTATGACTGCTATTCTCTGCTGACCAGGCTGGGACTCTCCTTCACTTTAATGCCACCTAACCCTGCTTTGTGAGGCCACCTGGCCTTTTGCTCTGCCCTGTATCTCCACGTTATTGTCACTCTTTCCATAGCCTCTGTCAGTTCTCTGCTGCTTCATCCTCACTAAGTTGCCTCCGGTGTTCTTGTGCCAGTGGACCAACTTTTTCTTTTGAATCTTTTTCAGTTCCTAAAAGGTTCCTTCTTTCCCTCTCCCCCAAAGGTTTGGGACATGTTTCTGGTAGTTTGGTTTTACTCTGTTTGAGTTGCACAATGTTGTATCCCATCCTCACGTGTCCCCTCCATCAGTGTTCATGTCCAGGCCCTGAAACCAAGGACAGCAACTCTGCCCAGCCACAGAGTGAGTCCGGGCCCACCTGTCCTTCCCCCCCCCCCCCCCCCCCCCCCCCCCCCCCCCCCCCCGAGAACGCAGGTGAGAGTCTTTGCCCGTGTTTTTTTTATTTATTTTTTAAATCTTTACTGTTAAAAGTATTATATATGTCCTTCCCCCCCCCCCATTGACCCTTTCTAGCCTGCCTCCCCCCAACCCCCACAGCCACCCAAGGCCTTCATCACCTTATTGTCTGTGTCCATGGGATATATATACACTGGGTGATCAGATTATTATGATCTCTGAACACATAATAATCTGGTCACTCAGTGTACTTCTCTTGAGTACCTCATTTACTTGATATCAAAGATACTATAAATCGTGCACCTGATCAGTTTTCCCCTTTGTACTGGCTGATAGAAAGCTCAGGACAAATAGGTGGTTTATCTCCAGCAAAAATCTAGAATACTTTTGGTACCCATTTGAGATACAAATACACAGAGTGGCCAGATTATTATGTGTTCAGAGATCATAATAATCTGGTCACTCAATATATATATATACAGGTTCTTTCGTTAATCTCTTCCCACCCCCACAACCCTTCCTTCCCTCTGAGATTCGACAGTCTGTTCCATGCTTCTATGTCTCTGGATCTATTTTGTTCATCATTTTATTTTGTTCATTAGATTCCACATATGAGTGAGATCATGTGATATTTGTCTTTCTCTGACTGGCTTATTTAAAATGCCTTTGCCTTAGGGTAGGAGGGTAAGAGATCAACCAAAAAACTTGTATGTATATAAGCATAACCAGTGGACACAGACAATAGGGAGTGAAGGATGGTATGCAGGCAGGGCAGGCTGGGTGGGGACAATGATGGGGAGGGAACATATGTAATACTTTCAACAATAAAGAATTAAAAAAAATAAAAATAAAAGTCTATAGAAAAATTAAAAAACAAAAACAAAAATAATAATGCCTTTGCCTGGTTGGGATTCCGATCCATGGAGCCTCGCCAAGCATAGTGGGAAAATCAGTCTTATGGGCTATGCTCGTGGTGGCCAAACTTGAGTGAGAAGGGAGTTTGTCCACAGTGGCAGTCACAGATGCACTGTGAAGGGTAAAATGCTCATTGCAAAACAGGAGGACAGCCAAGGTCGGAACCAGAGAGGCACAGTCAGGCCGAGGACGCAGAGTACAAACCAAAGAAAGGAGAGGAAGCATACGCTCAGGTCCGAGGAGGCCAGGTGAGCTCCAGGAGGAAGTTATAAAAAAGCACGAGGCATGATGTGAGGACCCTTATTTGACCTGCTGCATGGCATGGGTTCAGGCAGGCAAGTTAAAAGCTTGCAGAGTTGTGCTGACTCACAGGACCAAACACATTCTCCAGAGGTCTGGTTACTGTTTTCACCAGGAGGCCTAACGAGGCCTCATGGAAACAGAACCCCCAATGAGCCACCTTATCATACATAATGCCCACAGTGGATAGAAAGCACAGGTGTCTCTGGGGCCCTTGTCATACTGATGTAGTAGGTTGGTCAATAGTGCCTTCATTTATAGAGGGCCTCATTGAAATGTTAACTTGTTTTTAACCATATATTAATTTTCATTCAACCAGTGTTTTCTAGCATCTACTAATATGCTGGGTACAACTACTAATATGTTGGCTAACGGACGAGCAGGATAAATAAAGTAGGGTCTTGACTATAGTAACTTACAATTTTGGAGAGAGAAACATACACATACTACAACTGTTGTATCATTCTCTCCCCCAAAGTTCCCAGGGTAGGATTTCCTATGAGCACTTAGCGAAAGTGGCTGACTTCCTGAGACCCAGTTTTCTCTTCTGTGGGAGGTTGTTTGGGAACATTAAAGCCAACAACATTGGTAAAGAGCTTAACATCGTATGTTAGTTCTATGATGATCATGATAAATCTGAAAGTCAGAAGGGTGATGTCATTTGCCCAGGATTATCTCGCTAATAATGGAGAAAGTATGGACTCAAAGTTAGGACCTTCTGTTTCAAAACTCAGTGTTCTTCCCTGTACTCTTTATTGCTTCATAGTTAGGTGCTATCATAGAGACAGACACAGCAGCTGGGTAGGTAATTAAATGTTTTATATCACTTTCCTACTGTGAAGTTAATATTTAGAAGTGCACCATGATTGGGGAGGTAGAAAGGCAAATGACTGTTGGCTCCCAAAATACCAGCCATAGCTATGATTTTTCCTATGTATCAAAATTGCACCTGAATCAGAGGTCACATAAAACATTTGCATATGTGAAAGGTGGCTGTGAATTCAAGATTCTCTTCTGTTCAGGCTAATTGAGGCAGGAGTCAGTTTGGATGAGAAGTACACCAAATCAATGGGGCACAACCCCCAGAAATTCTTAGTCAGTCCCTCCTGAGGTACAGGAATCTGTGATTTTAAGACTCTGATGTTAAGACTGGACAGATACCTCTTAAGGACTTCTGCTGTTCCATAGCCTTGCCCCTCCAGGGAAAGAAGGGTCAGTTTAACTCAAACAAGGTTGTAGATGAAAGGTGGCTGAACCATTGAGAACAGAAGTCAGCAAGAAACTGTGAACTCAGAGAAGCAAGTCAAACTCTGGCTGTGGGAAGAACACTGCCAGCCTGAGCCCTCCTTGATAGAGCCAGCCTTAGCCATCTCACAGCTGCTGGGGAAAGACCAGTTTTTGTGATAAAATAATCAAAGGGTGGGTGTCTAATTGTCTTCTAAGTTCTCAGCAAGGTCTAATGGAGCTGATCTAGGTAACTCTTATGAGCTACCTAGATCACTGTCTCAGGCAACATGAAAGAACACATTGAGAGATAAGAGGTCTCCACAGTCTCATTGGTGAATCTCCAAAATATTGCTTCAGGGTCCTTTATTCACTTGTGTGAAGGTGAGGCAGCACAAGGATAGCAGTACACAGGTGCCCTGAGCTCAGGCAAGTAAACAAACAGCTGGGTCCAGGCCAGACACATGGGGACCTCGCCCAGCCCAAGGTCCCAGGCTTCCAGTAAACAGCATCTCCAGGTAGTCTCCACCTCCTGACCTCACTTATAAACCCTCTCCTCTCTGTGCTTTTGTTCTTAGATCTTTATCTTAAATTCTCCTTGCCTAGGTCCTCTGTTTTCATGACCACTCCCTTGAATGTTCTCCCTGGGTTTAATTCTGTTTCTCCTTGGCTCCTTCCCTCCCCTCCCGCATTCCTCTGTGGAATTCCCAGAACCCCAGTACCACTGGCTTCTAGGACACAGCACCCTGGCTTGTGACTAGTTCCTAGGGATCTAGCATGTCTAGAGCAGAGATCAAGGGCCGAGTTCCACAGCCTGAGCAGGAACTGGGTGTTCCCACCCAAGGCAGTACAGAAACTAAGAGCCAAGAGTAAGAAGAACAAAGTAAAAGTTACATAGAAACAGGCAAGGAAGGCGCTGAGCCCTGGGTGTCTAGAGAGACCTTCTAATGCACAAAATCTAAGTGAAGGTGTTTAGAATACAATCTATAGTGGCAAATCAGCTTTTGATGTTGCTCAGGCTTACACAGCTGGATCCAGATCTGAGGCTGATAGTATGATGTAGGCCAAGTGCACAAGTTAGTCCTGTCTCATGTGCCAACTCTGATCTATATATGGTGGCTTTCTAGAGAACTATACTAAAAGAAGGTCGGGAGGCCTAGTCTGGGCTAATGAAAAAAAAAAGTACAGTAATCGCTTAGTGATATCTGCCATGGGTAGCACGGCACATTAGTTAACAGCATGGGTGGTATAGTCAGAGAGACACAAGTTCAAGTTCTGTCTCTGCCACTTATTAGCGGGGTGACCTTAGGCAAGTTACTTAATCACTTTCAGGCTTGTTTCTCATCAGTAAAATGCAGATAGATGATAACACCTGCTTCACTGGATTGTTATGAAGATTAGTCGAGATAATTCAGGTCAAGTGCTTAGCAATGTACCTGGCACAGAGTAATTAATAAACATTAGCTATTATTATCATACATATTATAGGCCCAGGAATGCAGCTCAGTACATCTGCCATCCCAAGTTCAGACATATACAGGTCCTTGGAGAGACTTGTGAATAAGATACCCTTTGAAGGCACTTATAGAGGTTTTTGGAATTTCTTTGTTCCTGGAATATTTGAAAAAGGTTTTCAGTAGATGTCAGTATTGTCTTATTCTATAGATACATTTTTTTTCTTCTGCATAAATACTAAGTGGTATCTCAGGATCATCTATTAGCAGAGACCCATCGTAGGTAAATGCGGATCTAATCTGACCTTCTAATTGGAAACTAATTGTTTATAGGACAAAATAAAATCCCTCTTTGTACTCAGCATGGCTTTAAACAGTTTGCTGCTGCCTGACTTCTGAGCCTGCATCTCCTGCTTCTCACCAATAAATCCCAACCTGCAGCTGTACTCAACCACTTGTTTCCCACATTCATGGTATTCTTCTCTACTTCTGTGCCTTTGCACCTGCTGTTCCTCCCTAGGATGATTTCCCCCACATGATCTGTCTGTACATTACTCTCTGAAATGGTTTATGTAGGATTGGAATTATTTCATACTTAAATATTTGGTAGAACTTTCCAATGAAGCATCTAGGATAATGTTTTCTTTGTAGGAAGATTTTTTATTATATATTTAATTTTTAATTGTCTAATAGTTGCTTATATTTGAACTAGCTTTGGTAAATTATAGTTTTATTTTTTTTAATGAATTAACTTTATTATTTATTTTATGACCACAAAACTATCAAAATGTCTAGGAGGAAATTTTCAAGAAATACTGGAAAATTACAAGTGCGATGCAAATTTGTGTTTCACTTGGAAAGCTCTGGAAGAATAATTATTATTTAGGTTTCTCAGTGTAAAATTATGAGTGAGTAGGTGTTGACAAGTTCAGAAAAGTTCAACGTTTGTAAAAAATTTCAGCCTAGTAAGATTCTGTAGTGTGACAAATTGCTTATTTTTTTAATGTAGCTTTTTTAGTTCATTGTATACAGATTTGGCGCATAGTTTAAAAACGAATAAAAATCTTACTCTCTAGAACATGAGAAGACAATAAATAAAAGATAAGCACTTGATTTTGTAAATGGAACATAGGAACATAAAGACTATTTATGTGATTTTCAACCAGATTCATATTTCACACAGTTTTAAAATGATCTCATGTCTTACAATTACCAATTACTTATTTGAAACTACAGAGCAGGTAGAGGATATATCTATGACATTTAAGTATTATTTCAAAAACATACACAATTTTCTTGGTAGTACTTATATTTGTTGGGAGAACTGTTTACAGTATCATGATTTAACAGTAAATTTTTATATTACAAAGCAAGCTTAAGTTTTAGAAATACCACTGAAACTAAAATGACATTTATTAACTATATTCAAGGAACATAGTAAACTAGTTGACAAAATTCACCTATCTTAGACAAAAATCTTAGTCTGTTGAGATAGACAATATGGGACTTAACTTGCTGACACACACAACACAACACCTGCGTAATGTGAATGTTAGCGAACACTTAGGTATGTGGCCAACTCCTGACCTATATGCAAAAACCACAATAAACAAACAACACACCGCCATTCTTTTTTTCTCTGCTGTGGTTTTGGTCTCCACATACATCTGCACAGAGCTGCCTTAGGACAAGCATATACAACAATTTCACCTCCCAACTCTGTTAACTGTTCCAATGAAGACACACACGAATAATGATCTTTGAACATATCTGGCAACTTAGCAGTCTTGTTTTGAAGAGGTTGAGAACATCTAACTGGTGTTAGAAACTTCAGCTCTTTAAATGTAGAATTCATTTCGTCAAACTGCCATCTTCTTCCTACACTTTGCGAGTATGCTGTTATAGACACATTACATTTCATTAACAACCCTCCATAGTTTCTGCATTGGGGGTTTTACTATCATTGGTTGGATCTTTTGTTTTGTCATCTTCCTCTTTTTCACAACTTTGAAATACCCACATTTTTATGATGTCTGTTTTCTCTTTTCTTGGCTTTTTGATGTCGACTTCTTGGATTTGTACCTTGGTTGGACAAGACTCCTCAAAATTTCCTCCAAGTTTAATTTTTTCTTGACTCTGCATTGTTAGAATATCTATTGTACAATTGCATGTTTCATCTCTTTAATAGATGGAGTCCCTGCCAGAATGGCCTGCTCATAGATCACGCTAATGTCATACATGGACTTTGGAGCTCATCTTTAATTGGTAGCCACTGCAGAGTTTATTATTTTCCAAATTATGTGTCAATTGCTATAGTTGATTAATTCATTAGAAGGTTTTAAAGGAATACATTTTTTTTTCTATTATTATATTATTTTTGCTACTGTAGGCCTACTGACATTTTCCTTACCAGCCAATATTGTCTTAAGTTTCAGAACTTTTGTCTTTTCTTGGAACTAACCCTCAGATGTCATCACTCTCTGGTTTCTATAATCTGAATGCAAACTGAGAGAGAGTGAAGATGAGGGCTTTGGAGTCAGACTGACCTGGATCTACCCTGGCTCTGCCATTTACTTTCTCAGTGACCTGGGGAACATCCCTTTTCTCAGAAGTGAAACAGAAATGGGAACACCTGCCTTGCAGCATTGTTGTGAGGATAAGCAAGTATGTGTGGCAATTACCTTAACCCTATATCTATGCTAAGTACATAGAAGACATTTGGGAAATAAAAGCTGTTCTTATGTTGATTTGAGATTTGCAAGCTGCTAGGAAGCTGGCATGCTTCTCCTTCTGTCCTACTTCCCTTAAAAAAAAAAATTAACAAAAAGTATTTTCTTTCTACTATACCAGGAAGAAAAGGTTGACTGACATCAAACCCTTCATGTGCCCGAGGCTGTGATTTTCAGCAGGACTTACTTCAACTTCAGTATTCAGTTTTACTAATGTTAGCATTGTCTGACAATGCACTCACACTGCCTGTGAAAGTCTACTTTTATTTATTTATCTTGATTAGTTTTATTTTAGTAAAGAGAATCTCTTATTCTACAAAGAAGGTATCTTACATCAAAGGAATCAAGCATTCACTCATTGAGAGTGCCCGCTTGAATCCTAAATGCCCTTCTAGCCCTTTCTCCAAACCCTTGTTTACTGTTCCTAAGTTTACTATTCCAGGAACCCCTGGCCCACAGCAGCACTTCTTAAGAGCATTCACTCACTCCCCAGACTTGGATTTTAAAACTTTGGGTCACCGAATCCACATTGGTAGAACTTGATATGCCTAAAATGAAGATGCTTCGTCATGCCCAGTGCTTCTTAGGGTGTTTTCAAGTAGATTTCCTGAGTCTACAGACCCACACATGATGCTGGCCCAGAGATGGCTTTCAAAGCCAATAAACTTTATACACTTCTGAGGAAGGCACATCATTCAAGCCACTCTGGTCAGAATGGCTGTAGTTGTTGCCAAACGAAAGGAAAAAAAAGAGTCCCAAATTACACAATATCTCCACTGAATTAGAGCCCAGTGATTCAGCCACTCTGTTCTCCAATAATCTCCTTGTGAGGGTTAACTTCCTTAGACCAAGGAGGAGAGGTTGTGGTCTATGCTGGCAGGAGTGCTCAGTGTGGGGGCTCAGCTCTTAGGATAACAATCCAAGTTCCGCTCAATAAAAGGCTCCCAGAGTCTTAAGCTGTTCAGTAATCAGCTAATTATGAAAGTAGCAAAAGAAAACTGGTTTCAACTTTAAGGCAAACCAAGTAAAAGGAAACAAGCACATACAATAAGAAAATCTTGTAACTGGAGAGTTTACAGGAACTAGGCAGCAGTTTGGAAACATTCTATCAAAGATAAGGGTGGGGCTCAGTAAGGCCTCCTCCTCCAGGGTTACCTGGGAAACGACTTCTCTAGCCAGATAAGCTTATGTTTACGTCTGATTTCTCCACTTATGAGGCAGAAAGTATGGTCAGACACAACACACCGGGGAACATAACTTTTCATATTTTATTGTAGTCCTTATTGAATATTAGCTATCAGAGAAGGTCAACTAATTTTTAAAAATATTTTTATTGATTTTTTTACAGAGCGGAAGGGAGAGGGATAGAGAGTTAGAAACATCAATGAGAGAGAAACATCGATCAGCTGCCTCCCGCACCCCCCCCACTGGGGATGTGCCCACAACCAAGGTAAATGCCCTTGACCGAAATTGAACCTGGGACCCTTCAGTCCACAGGCTGATGCTCTATCAACTGATCCAAACCAGTCAGAGCTCAGCTAATTTTTTTAAGTCAAGGATTTGTGTAACTTGCCCAAAGTTATTATCAACAATTAACCAATGAACATTTGGTAAGTAACTACTTACCCTATCAGTTCCAAAATGACATCTCATATACTAGCTCTGACCTATTAGAGTGGTTCCTGGAATGTTTGGGGTTGAGAAAGATTCTAAGGTATTAATTATTCTCAGAAGGAAAGAAAGTCCACTCTCATTAGGGACAATTCCATGAGTACAGGAGGGAAGAAAAGCAACCTATACAAGGTCTTTGCCAACCTTGTATGAACCTTACCATTCCTCATAGTACTGTCAGTGAGAACAATCTCTACCTCCATGCCAATCCACTACTCCTAAAATTTGGGGACTTCATTTTGATGCCTGACTTTTTTTTTATTCTTTACCCCACTCAAATCTATGTTATTAACAAGGCCTTTCTGAAACTTCTCTCTCCTTTTCCATTCCTCCAGCCCTAACTTTGATCCCAGTCAGCTTTTTAGTCTTTCAAAGCTGTTGGGATTTAGAGGGATATAGTATATAGTCCAGGTGAGGCGAGTAGGGTGTCCAGAAATAATTCAAGGTAGATCCTTGAGAATCTTACCATGTTGAGCTTTAGTCCTCCTTTAGCCTGTGAGTCTAAAATCTCAATCATAGCTCCTAATTGGACTCAGAAGGAAGTGATTTATATCAATCAAAATTATAGAAGACTGATGTATAAAAAATTATAGGAGACTAATGTAAAAAAAATGCACTCTGGCCCAGCCGGTGTGGCACAGTGGTTGAGTGTGGACCTATAAACCAGGAGGTCATAGTTCAATTACCAGTGAGGGCACATGCTCGGGTTGCAGACTCAATCCCGAGTAGGGGGTGTGCAGGAGGTAGCCAATCAATGATTCTTTCTCATTGATGTTTCTATCCCTCTCTCCCTCTTCATTCATCTCTCTGAAATAAATAAAAAACATTTTTTAAAAAAAATGCACTTTGATCTGCATATTTGTTCCTGGTGAGAAATCTCCATGCAAGTCAGGAACTATTCAGAAAGGGGATTGGTGAACCAGGTAGGGCACCAGCCCTGTGGACTAAATAGAGCAAAGCAATGAAGGCCCATCTCCACCAGAGAAGGACTCATTGCTATCTCCCCTGGACAGTTCTCATGAAATGCTGTCATTCTTCATTATTTGTTGGTTTTCATGCTGGCAACGTGCTTTTGCCAGCCAGTTCTTTGCCAACATGGCTATTGCTTTGGCTACTGTCCAGTTGCTCCATTCAGTGTGGCCTGAACAACTTTCCTTTTAATATCGAGTATTGATTTTATTAACTTTAACCTCACCATTTATGGGTTCCCTATCTTAAGCCTACTTAGCCCATTCCCTAATTGCTTAGCTGACTTCACTACCTCCAGAGGTCTTATGAATTCATTTGCCTAAAAAGACCTTTAATCATCTAACAATACCTTACATTTGACGGGCCCCTAGTTAACAAAGCCCTTTCACAGACAGTATCTCACGAAGTCCTCACAACGGGCAGCACGTATTCCCATCCTCATTCCACACCCTTAGGAACTGAGACTCCGAGAGAAACCTACATTCCTGCAGCTAACATGGCCCAGCACCAGGCCTGGGACCATGTTTGTTCTGCTACACCCTCTCCCCTGTTCTTTTTCCACTAAAGATGCTGATAAAAGTTCCCAATCCCTGCTCAGAATAGTGAAAATTCCAATGATAAGTTTTCAGGGCCCCACCCTGGGTCTGATGTTGTGCTCCCTATCCCCCTCCCCCAGATTTTTCATTCTGCTCAGTCATGAGAACCCTGTTCCCATTTTCACTTGACCCGCATTTCAGCTTTGCTTTGGCAGCTGCTGAGCAGAGAAAGCAAGTTCAGAATGTGCTTCTGGGTCTCCTTTGAGCTACATGGGGTATCAGTTTGGCAGGTCACCTTCTCCTGGCACTGGGCTAAGGACCCTGAGATGACAAGGGACAGGGGAGGGACGATTGGCTGGGAACTGAATACGTTCAATGCATGTTTGATTCTCATTTCCATTCCGGGCTCCTCATTAAGCCACCGAGGCAGCACCAACCTGTTCCTCATTTTGAGTTGGCAGGGCCACAGCCCCATTAGTGGTAATATGAACCAGCAGGACTCCAGGGAGAGGAAGAAGGCTGAAAGGACTGGAGTTTCTGGTCCAATTTTTTTAAAGAAAAGAAGAGAATGAAAGACCCACAAAACTTAGAAACACTCTCTTCCCTTGGCTTGTTCACATGGAAATGCAAGTCTGATGATCATGGACAAGGAGGTGATGACCCCAGAAGCAGGGGTCAGCATGACCTTCAGTTCCTCTGCTCTAAGCCCACGTGCCAGCAGGATTCACTTCTTGAGCCACCAGTGCCAAATGGGGACACTTGAATGTCAAGTCTTTGGACACTTGGCAGAAAGAGGTACGTGTCCCAATTACTAAACTCATAATAAGCACTCAAGACCCCAAACAGCCCTTCCTGGTGCACATACTCCCAAGTGTTGGGTGCTGGGAAAATTCACCAAGCACAAAAAGCCTCTTTGATTGCTGTGTTCATGATGTGGTGCAGAAAAAGGATAGTAGTAGTGACATTGGCAGTGGCTGTCAAAGGTTTCTCAGAGGGCTGCATACACTGGGTGGGTATGAGGTTCAGGCCTGGTGGCTGTTCAAGTAAATGTAGGGAAAGGAAGCTGTGCATCCTGTTTCTTGAAACTTAAAGAAACAGGTATTGAAGCTAGACAATGTTTTGCAACCTGAGCTCTTGATGACAGAGGTAGACAGCACCATCCCCTCTGTTATAATCAATTTGCTCGTTACGTAACCTGTAACCATTCCTTCCTTGAGCACAGCGTTATAGACAATGCATAGAAAAATGCCAGCCTTGGTTGCAGAGGCACAACTTTCCCCTGCATTCTGTGGATTCTCAGCCTGCCCTACAGCCACTTAGGAAGACAGGCAGGGTGGTGTTAACCCTCACATCTTACAAATAAGCAAATTTTGCATGTAAATGATTTGGCTATAATTCATAGAGTCAAGACTCAAACCCATGACTTCTTCTCAACTCTAATACTTCTTTCAGCAATTCACTTTCTAGAAAGATTTCAAGCTAACCCAGGTGGTTAGGTTTGGGAAGGGCATCAACTTTGGGACTACCAATAGCTCTCAGTTTGAAGATAACTTGCATGACAAAGGCTTCCTGAAGATCCACCAATTGGCAGACTTTCTTTAAAGTACCTGAGCTGAAGCTCTCATCTCAAGAAACAGTCTTATATTAATCCAATAAGACATAACTTCAGTTTGACTTGCATGGTTCATTTCTGCTTTCCAGCTGGTCTCCAGATTTCAAATTCCCTTGCTCCTCCTTCGATGACTGTTAACCTCTTTCTTTTCTTTCCTTGTGTTTATTGTCTTTCTTGCTGCCCTCTCTTTTATTTGTTGGGGGGCAGAAAATAGGTGTTCGTTGGAGGAAAGAAATAAAGCCAGTCAGTGAAGCCACATGTATGTGGACTTCTCATAGCACCACATGTGACATTTCTGGAATGCACTTACCCATCAGATCAGATGGCTGTAGAGCTGCACCAGCCTGCATGTGACCTCAGATTCATAGAGTTTTGTCTAGGGAAGAGAGGGGTTTAGAAGATGGAGATTGACTCATTTTACAATTATGGACCCCAAGAAGAAAGATTCATTTGATGTGAATCCTCAGAAGGAGTTTATCTACTGAGATGAACTCTCCATGGTCAATCAAGGGTCCAGATTTTATAAATAGTAAGAGTCTAGGGGACATTTGCTGACAGGGGCTTTCATGTATTCTGTATATGGGAAAGAAACTCTGACTGAACTCTCAGCTTCTCGCACTATGCTTGTTTACTCTGTCTAAATTACCGGTAACCACTGCAGGATAGCCCTGGCTTCCTCTTTCAACCAATGGACCAAGACTTGCCCTATCCAGTCAAAATTGCACAATTATATCCTCATTCACATCTCTACTGACCAATTAGACTGTATGAATTTGGAAACCTGATTTGCATAAAATTGGATCAATTGGGAATGTGGGTGGGGACGTGTTCTAAAAAAGGTGGCCTCCCCTTTGTTTCAGCTGAGTGCACTTTGGTTTTCTGCTAGAGGCTGCCTTTCCCCCAGTTTGCAAATTATTTTATCTCAATAAACTTCCTCCTTTCTGAAACTTTTTGGGAATTTTGGTTTACACAAGTGAGAAGTGATTTCACCAAAGTTACATGAATATTCAATGGCAAAACAGAGGCTCATTTTACTTGTGTTATTCTCTTTGCCCCTTATCATATGTAAGATTGAAGGAATGAGGAGAATATTCAGCTTCTTTTTAGATGGGAAAACAAATCATACAAGTCAATATTTTTAGAACAAAAATAAATGAAATCCAAGACTGGCCCTAGCCAGTTTGGTTCAGTGGATAGAGTGTCAGCCAGTAGACTGAAGAGTCCCTGGTTCGATTCTGGTCAAGGGTATATAACTAGGTTGCAGGCTCAATCTGTAGGGGCACTTGCAGGAGGCAACCAATCGATGTGTCTCTCTCACATCAATGTTTCTTTCTGTGTGTTTCTCCCCCTCCTTTCCACTCTCTCTAAAAATCAATGGAAAAATATCCTGGGGTGAGGATTAACAACAACAACAACAAAAAGAAGAAATCAAGACTGTCCCTATTAAAGCTTTTCATGGAGAAAATCATGAATTTCTAGAGGTTTTTATCTTTTATTTTTTAGAAATTCTGTATTCTTTTTTTTTTTTTTTAATATATTTTATTGATTTTTACAGAGAGAAAGGGAGAGAGATAGAGAGCCAGAAATGTCGATGAGAGAGAAAGATCGACCAGCCGCCTCTTGCACATCCCCTACCGGGGATGTGCCTGCAGCCAACGTACATGCCCTTGACCAGAATCGAACCCAGGACCTTTTCAGTCCGCAGACCGACGCTCTACCACTGAGCCAAACTGGTTTCGGCTAGAGGTTTTTATCTTAAGTTTAACTTTTAATGGTATATTTGGTTTCTTTCTTTTTAAAATAACTTTTTATTATAAAATTTAATATTCACTGTAGAATACTTAGAAAATACAGATATGCCAAAAAAGTGAAATTTTAAACCTTTATGATCTCATCCCTTCAAGATACTCAGTGTAAGTAATTTGTTTCATTTCTTTTCCAGACCTATACATATGCTATACATACTGGTACATAGGTACAACCCCCCCTCCCACACACACACACAAATACTGCATTAGATTATACAAACAGTGTCATATGTTTGTGTTTTATATACTAGTAAATATTTACCCATAACTTATTCCATGACTGATTTGTATTCCTTTGTACGATGTTCTATTATCTAAATAACCCATCTCATATTGTTTGACTATTTTAAAGCTACAATAAACATTCCTAGAATGTTTATCGTAGTTAATTAACTACTCCAGAGATCTCTGAAAGTCTGAAGCAGTGTTTTCCTAAAAATGCTTATTTTTAACATGTTGATGTTCAATAGTAGTGAAGGTATAAAAACTGACAAACATCTTCAAAGCACCATGCCAAAAATAACTTAGGGGATGTCTGAGACAAGTCATGTTGCTAGAAATTAAACTTTACTAATAAAGAGCAGCATGACCCATAAAAAATGGTGTTGCTTTAGGTATTCACTGCTAAACGAGGGAGGAGGCAATGTGGTGTTGTATGAAGAATTGGTGTGAGATCAGCATCTCACCCCGCACATAATCGGCACCATTATATTCGCTTATCTCCCCAAGGTGCCTTTTTTACATTTATTTTTCTCTTCTGTGTTGACCTTCACTAGAGAATAAAAATTATAGAGAGGTCAGGAATTGTATGCATTTTGTCCTGGGTTCTATGATTCACATCCTCCATCCTACCCCCATTCATTGGGGCTGGCCCCATGTAACACTAATAAACCGAGATAGATCCTCGTCAGACAGGATCCTTGGGATGACCCTCTAACAGACCTCAGTTTGTTAGAGGGTCATCCCAATGCACTTAGGTTGTGGGTTCGATCCCTAGTCAGGGTACATACAAGAATCAACCAGTGAATGCATAAATAAGTGGAACAACAGATCGATGTTTCACTCTCTCTCCCTCCCTCTCTGTTCCCTCTTCTCTTATTCAAAAAAAAAAAAAAAAAAAAAAAAAAAAAAGACTAGTATCAACATACAGGGAAGAAGGCTGATGAAGACACAGTAGAGAAGATTTGAGCACAGCCTGGAAGACTGGCCAGAGACACAAGTCAGCAGAGGCACATTCCCTTTGTTGCCCGAGACGAGGTTAACACTGTTGGTTTCTGCACCATTCATCAGTTGTCAAAAGTATGAGCATAATAACTTCCTTGAGTGACACACGTTGTAGCCCAAGTATGACAAAACATCCTTTAGTATCCCAATCTAAATGAATACATTTATGAAAAATGGTCACTTCACATTAGTTCTTCATGCTTCTTTCGAGCAATTTTGGTTTTCTACTACAACCTTTTCATTTCATAAAATTCCTTTCTCAATGGCTGTTTTAGGTGCCTGATTTGGGCTGCTGGTGAGAACTACCAAGGGATGCAGCCTGCCAGCCCCTCTCTCTCTTCTCCCCAAAGACCTAGAGCAATAGTCAGCAAACTGCGGCTCGTGAGCCACATGTAGCTCGTGAACCGTGGTTTGTCGCTCTGTTGACTGATGAGTTTGCCAACATCTGGCCTGGAGTACATAGGCCTCTTCCACTTGGGGTCTGCATTCCTTTCCCAGCACAGGGCCTTCCCCAGAGAGGGGACTTTCTTCCCATGATCCCATTGTCTGTGATCTGAGATAAGAGTAAGTCTTGTGTTCCATCCCCTTTGCTGAGCATCAGCTTATCACTAGGCAAGGCAAGTATCATTGGAATGTGTCAAAGTGCCGCTAAACAAATTTCAGTGCAGTCCAGATCACCTGGCTAAGTGTGAGTGCCTGCCAGCCCTGGCATTGGCCAGCTTCAGTGGGGACAAATGTCAGCTTGTCCTTTTGTATTGAACCCGGCAAACTGACCAGGAGGAATACAAGCACCATGAGGGTTGGGATTTTTGCTTGTTGTGTCCTCTGATCTATTCCCAAGTACCAGAATAGCATCCCAAAGAGTGCCAGGGACAGAGTCGGTATTCAAAAATTATTTTTACAAAATTGAGTTTTAAGTTTTCTTTCAGTGAACAATCTGTTCTTGAACTTCATTATAAGTGGAATCATCTAGTATGCACTCTTCTGTATCTGCCAGATTTTTAAACTCAAAATGTTTTAGAGACTTATCCATGTCACTCCCTGTATTAGTAATTTGTTCCTTTTGATTATGTGTAATATTCCATGCATGAATATTCCACAATTTGTTTATCTATTCTCCTGATGATATTTGGTTGTTTCCAATTTGGGGCTACAAGGGATAAAGCTGCCCGAAACATTCTTGTGCAAGTCTTTCTGTGGGCACATGTTTTTATTTCCCTTGGGTAAATACTTCAGAGTGAAATTGCTGGATCATAGGGTAGGGTTTACTTTGCAAGATTCTGCTAAACTACAATAAATATTTATTGAGCCCTTTGAGACATATCCAAATAAGTTGTTCTTTCCATTTGAAATATCCTTTCCCTTTCTTTATCAATTATAGTACAGTAAATTTAATTTTTCAGAAGTTTGCCACCTTCTACATAAAGACTTCCTTGATTGCCACAGATGTATTCAGCAATGTTCATGTTTAGCAGCTATATATTGCACAGCTACTAGGTTCTTTGCATTTTATTATTTTCTGGGGCTTATAGAGGTGAGAATTGGTCCTTGTTCCCAGGAAACTCACCGTCTAGTGGAGAAGAGACAGTGATAATGGAGGAAAGTGAGGTGTGCACAAGAGGCTAAGGACTGGACACTTCAGTTGGATCTAATAGTTGAAGTGGAAAGAGAAGAGGACATTCTAGGCAAAGAAAAGTGCAGATGCAAAGAGAGGTGAAGGAGCAGGATTCATTTAGGAACAAGTGGGTTCCTGATGCTGGAGAGGTATGAGGGAGACAAATTGGGGTAGTGAACAGCCAAGATCCAGATCACAGAAGGCCTTGAACCAAGCTGTATTGACATTTGAAACTCGAAAACAATGGATAACCACTGAATGACCTTAAGCAGAGGGGGTGACATTATTAGAATTGATCTGCCCGCCCCCCCTACTCCCTTCCCCTCTTCTCCACAGCAGTTGGCTTGACCTTGATCACACCACTTGCTTCAATCTGCCTCATGCTGCTGTGGTCTGCAGGCATGCTAACTCCCCATCTGGCCCACAAGGAAAACCTTGTGAATGTCTGTGGGTCTATATGACACCAAATTGCCCATCAGCAGGCGAGTATACCACAGGCACTAGTGCTTTGTGGGTGTTCGATACATAGGACTGAACCATGACTTCCATTCATCACCCTTGGGGCTGCTAGACTGAGATTTAAGGAGGATGTTCTTTTCATTGAGGTGCAGGTTTCATTGAAACAGATCTCAGAGGAAAGCTCTGACTCTAAGATCAAAGAAAGGGGAAAGGGATGGGGATCACACACAACTAAGAGCCCTCATAACCTTATGTGCTTCCTACCCAGAGTCCCACAGAGGTATCTTGGGGATGTTTTGCAGCAAAAACCTGGTTGCTTTTCTCTAGATGGAATTTCCGTCTAATGAACAGATGGCATTGTTTTCATATGAGGAGCAGAAGAATGTCATGTACTCAAACACTGAAAGCCTAAGAAAACACTCAGAGCAGGGGCAGCAATTACAGTGGGGAAAGTACAGGATAAGTCAACCGAGAGCTAGTCTCTGTGCGAAGCCTGAATCCAGCCAACCATGTGATCTGCAGAGGTGTCGAAGTTGGGGGTGCTGCTGAAGTGGGCCCTGGACCGGGCTAGGGTCTCATTTACAAGCCAGCTAAGATGTTCTCCCTCTCCTGAGAACGTTCCTGTTATGTGGGTGGCCCTGAGAATTCAGAGGCAAATTGAGATAGTCCCTGCCCTCAGGTGATATGCCCTCGGCATGGTGACAAAGACAATCTCATGAAAGGTCTTCACAGAAAATCAGCACAGAGACCCTAACCCAGCCTGGAAGGTCAGGAGAGATGAGAACAGAGGCCCTACAACAGCCTGGATGAGTCAGAGAGGTTCTAGAGCAGTGGTTCTCAACCTTTCTAATGCTGCACGACCCTTTACTACAGTTCCTCATGTTGTGGTGACCCCCAATCATGAAATGAATGAATCGTAATGTAAATATCTATGTTTTCTGATGGTCTTAGGTTCTACAGCAGCAGTTCTCAGCTTATGGGTCTCGACCCACAGGTTGAGAACCGCTAGTAGGGTCGCCCAAGACCATCGGAAAACACAGATACCGGTATTTACATTACGATTCATAACAGTAGCAAAATTACAGTTATGAAGTATTAGCAACAAAAATAATTTTATGGTTGGGGGTCACCACATGAGGGTTGCGGCATTAGAAAGGTTGAGAACCACTGCTGTAGGGGAAGGTGACCTCTGAGCTGAGTCTTATGAGTTGACTGGAAGCTGGCCAGAAGGGGTGGTAAAAAGGCAAGGTAGAGGACAAGATTGCAGCATTGAGAACCAAGGGGACAGTGTGTGCAAGGGCAGGGGCGTGCCAGAAGCAAGGTGAGTATAGGGACGTCATACAAGCAGTTTGGCATGGCTGAGGAGGGCCGGGAGTGGCAAAAATGAGGCCAGAGATAGAAGCTGGGGATTAGAAATATCTGAATATAGGGAAGTATCTGAGCACAACACCATTACACAAGTTCATGCAAATTACTTCTTCAACAAGGTGCACCCTATCAGTAAACCTATGCACAAGGTTGAGACATGTTGGTGACAGAACCACAATACCAAGATCAACAGGCTGCACAAGGAAGGATTCGTCATCTATTTATTTAATCTGCACACATACATAGAGCACATGCCAACCACAGGAACCCCATGATAAATGCCATATTCCTAACAAAATGACCAACACTAGGCACTCTGCCCAAGGAAATGGCTCTATAGACAGTTTGTTGAATGAATAAATGAAGGGTCAATTTGGACCCCTGCCCAAAGACCTCCTAGTCCATTGGGAAAATCAGAGAGGTAAACCAGTGATTATGATATCAAATGATTACAATTAAGACAGAGCTGGAAATTCATCCTAATAATGTCTGCAAGAATGAGCAAAGTGAAATAAGTAAATGAACAGGCCTTCTGGGTGAAAGACAATAGGGACTAGTGGGGACTGCGGCCAGTGAATAGAATGTGCTTCTAAAGTAGGGGTGTCGAACTCAATCAGAGAAGGGGCCAAAATCTAAAATCCAGCCTAAATCGCGGGCCGAATGGTTTACTGAACAGTCATAAACTGTCATTGTGATGGAAACGCAGCGGAGTGCAGTGATGACAGCGCGGTGCGGGCCACATTGCAAGGCCTAGCGGGACGGATTTGGCCCGCGGGCCTTGTGTTTGACACATGTGTAGGGAACAGTTGCTTTTCAACTCCAGGCATATAAGGATCAAGCAATGCTAGAAACTGGTGAAATGTCACTGTCTAGCTTGGTTGCTCCTTCACTGAACCCAGGGCTCCAGCACGATCAGCCTGGTACCTACAGGGAGGTGATGGCGTAGAGAGAGGAATTGTTAGCATGACACAAGGACTTTCTGAGAAGACATGGCATAGGGCACAGTGACCTGCATTATCAGATGGGGACACTATAACCCTCCCAGCCAAGAGGGCAAACAGGGCCAGGCATTGCCAGCAGCCAGGACCTTAGCCATCAGGCTCATGTGCACCTGGTGAGGGCCTGACATGAGCTCCATCTCCGGCCTTCTTGGTCCAGGACTGGGCTCCAGTGCAGTTCCTCTGTCCGAAGAGGACCCTACATTGCCATTGCCAGTTCCCTGGCCATAGAGATCTGTTTGGGGCTGTTTGCTCCACAGAAGGAACAGCAGATTGCCGATATCAGATTCCTGCACCCCTGCCTTCCCCACCACATAAAAGCTGCTGAGCAAACAGAGAAATCAAAGATGATTATAAGTTGCTGGAAACCCGCGTGCTTCCGCCTGGCTGCCTAACCAGCCAAACTGTTATGTAAGCTACAGCCCCAATGCAGGCAGGGAACCAAACAGATGCCATTGACCGGCTCCTGACCGTGTATGACCACTCATCACCCACAGCTTTCCTCGGATCCTGGAGCACCTGGAGCAGACCTGACTCAGAGAGGGGAAGGTCACAGCACAAGCTTTCCCATTTGTGTTCGGATTTCCCTCCCATCCCAGCCAGCTCCAGGCCTGGGTGGGTCGGTACTAGGAATTCACTTTGGCCTGATTCCAAGTGACTAAGACTGTCAAGCTCTGACATTCCGGGGTAGGCGCGTGTTTTTCACCCTCCTAAGTGAGTAATTCAAAAGGCTGTTTCTTTTCCAGAGCTGAGTAAGTAATTCCTGGAGCCCAAAGTGACCTTCTGACCAGAAAGGGCCTGCCTCACTGCTCTGATGACCACTATGATTTCTATATAGAAAATATGGGCATCCTGCCCTCCTTCCACCCTAAACCACTGAAATGGACTTAGAAGAGATTAGGGGGGACCAGGCCTGCAAGGGAGGGCAGTTGGGGGTGGAGGGATACCAGGCCAGCAGGGGAGGGCAGTTGTGGGGGACCAGGCCTGCAGGGGAAGGCAGTTGGGGGGGACAAGGCCTGCAGGGGAGGGCAGTTGAGGGGGGACCAGGCCTGCAGGGGAGGACAGTTGAGTGGGGACCACGCCTGATGAGGAGGGCAGTTGGGAGCCAGCAGTCCTGGATTGTGAGAGAGTTCGGGCTTAAATGGGTGGTTGGACAACCCTCAAGGGGTCTCAGATTGGAGAGGGGGCAGTCTGTGCTGAGGAACACGCCCCCTTTGGCCCCCCCGTGCATGAATTTTGTTCACCAGGTCTCTAGTATATATTTTCCAGTGCACAATTTTGGAACTTCTGCAGTAAATGTTAACAATTACTGCTTGGTCTAATCTGAGCCATCATTTTATGTACAGTAAATCAATTGTTTCTGGAAGTTTCTGAGAATATAAAGCATTCTGACACATATATGTAGCTTTGGAGAATAAGGGTTGTGTTTCTTTTAGCAACTTTATTTTTTATAACAGTATTACTAGTAGATTTGCAGAAAAATTGCAAGATAATACAGAGTCCCATGTAGCTTTCTCCCAGTTTCCCCTACAGATAACATCTTACATGAGTGTGGTAATTTTGTTTTTACAAATAATGAATCATTATTGACACATTATTTATTAATTAAAGCCCAAACTTTAGAAAATTGGTTTTACAGAAAATTGGCATTAAAATTCCTTAGAGGTATTTTAACTCGAGCTTTCACATGCCAGAGAGAAGTACTTTGCAGACCTTGATCTCCCCTCACCTCCTAGAACAGTTGCTGCTGTTCACGCCTTTGCTACCCTCTTTCTGCAAAGGAAAAAAAAAAGTCATCTCCATTATCAACCCTAAAAGATTTTAGGGGTGGAAGTCTCTGAGGGCAGAATGTTAAAGAATAGTAAGAAGCTGGGTAAATTCCAGGACAAGTGGAATGGGGAAGCTGAGACAGATAGTTAAACAGCAGTATGTGTGCACCTAATAAATCTTATCTTCCCTAAACCAAGGACACTTAAGAGTAAATGGTTTGCACTCCTCCTCCCCAACTAGAGGGTAAATAGCTTACTTCACCCTACTCAGGGAGACAGAACAGAAATCCAACTAAGTGCCATTTACCAAGGACAAATTAAGAGAATCCTATTTTGATCATCAGCATAAAGCTGGTGACTATTATATTGACCCACTCCCAAGACCTCCTCCAAATGTCCAGTCTTTAAAATCCTTGAAAATGAAGGTCCCAGTACTTTTTCCCTCCAGGGAACATGCCCATGCCATTCCCTTCCTGCTTTTCTCCCCTTATCTGCTCTTCAATGCTTATCCCCTAACCACTGAGGGACCCCATGATTGCAACCAGGGGAGCAATGGGCAGTGGCAGCTCATCCCAGGTTAACCCCCAGAAGCTGTCTCCAGGGCCCTCTTTTCTGACTTTCCAGTGAGCCAAGGCAGCCCAGCCTAGGCTCTCTTGGTGCTGCTTCTCTGCCCTTTCTTGTTTCACTGCCCTAAGTATGTTTTTACTGCGAGCAATAAATTCTTTCTTTCTTAAAAAAAAAAAAAAAAAAAAAAAAAAAAAAAAAATCCTGTCTAAGAGCTTGGCTATCCACTGTGAAGCATCTTGCTTTAAGTGCTTCACCTTGAAGGTATTTTAAAACAGTAGGGAATGGGCTGGTAAGGAGTGGGGGGTTGGAAATCAAACTCATAGAATCACAATTCTGCTATTTCTAAGCTGTTGCTTTATTGGGCCTTATTTTTCTCACTCACAAAATGGAAATAATAATAGTATGTACCTCACTGAGTTGCTGTGAGGATTGATTAAAAATATTTCAAAAGCACTTAGCACAGGACTGGGCATATAATAATAGTCAAATAATGGTAGCTATCATTTAGTTTAAAAGGTGAGGCCCCTGTGAAAAGTAACTGTCGTCAATAGATTAGTCATTGAGCTCTAGCTTGTTTGGCTCAGTGGATGGAGTGTCAGCCTTCGGACTGAGGGATCCCAGGTTCGATTCCAGCCAAGGGCACATGCCCGGATTGTGGGCTCGATTCCCAGTAGGTGGCATGCAGGAGGCAGCTGATTGATGATTCTCTCTCATCATTGATGTTTCTATCTCTCTCTCCCTCTCCCTTCCTCTCTGAAATCAATAAAAATTAAAAATAAAAATAAATGTTTAGATTAGTCATTGAGTGATCTAGACCAATGTAATGAAAAATAGCTTTTCCCACAAAGATCAGTTTCAAAGGCGACTTGGGAGAAGATAAATAGCTATGGAAGCATAAACTTAATTGCCTGAAGAATTCTTTTTAAATCGGAAAGAAAATAGGTAATTAGATGGACTGCTGATATGAAAACCCATGAGGAATTACCCATGGGCTTTCTCTGCTTTGCCTTTCTGCTTGAAGAATCAAAACATTAGTAGATGTTTAGAGCAGTAAATATCTCTATTAAAGGTATTGTTTAGGGAGAAAGGATGTCTTGGGGCTAGTTAGGAATATTGTGAAGATCTACCCCTGCCCCCCATCTACATTTCCAGAATCTATTCACCACATCCCATCTCACCACTTTGTCCCACCCTCCAGCCATGTGGAACTCTTGCAATGTATGATACACGCAGGCTCTCCTGCCTTGCGTGCCCTTGCATGTTCTCCTCCTGCCTGGAAGCACCCATCCCTTCACCTGACTAACCAGGTGCGCTTTAAGATGAAGCTCAGGTAGCCCCTCCCCTGGAAGGTCTTCCCCAGACACTGTTATTGGGGTGAGACAGGCTCCCAGGCTCCATGCTCAAGGCATTTAACACATCGTGTCACCTGTCTTCCTCATTCTGTTGGGAGTACCATGGCATCTGGGACATGATAAATGCTCAGAAAATGTTAGGTAATGCTAAGGTGTTGGATTCTTCTGTCCAAGGCTGAAGTGGAACCCAATAGAGGAGACACATGAATTTGGTGAAAGGTGCCTTTTTATACTTGAAGCATAAGTTTAAAAACTTCAAAGGCGCCAAAACTGGTTTGGTTCAGTGGATAGTGTCAGCCTATGGACTCAAGGGTCTCAGGTTCGATTCCAGTCAAGGGCATGTACGTTGCTTCAGGCACATCCCTAGTAGGGGGTGTGCAAAAGGCAGCTGATCGATGTTTCTCTCTCAAGGATGTTTCTATAATAACTATCTTTCTCCCTTCCTCTCTGTAAAAAAATCAATAAAATATATATTTTTAAAAAACTTCAAAGGTTTCTCTTTCAAGGATAGAGTTAAAGACAGTGTAGGACTCGGCGGCAACACATTTTGTGCAGTGGTTTCCATCCTCAGGGCATGAAACAATGACAGTCTGTGGACAGTTTCCTGGGTTAATGTGAATTCTTCTCAAAAAATTGCCACGTGTCTCAGTGCTGTGAGCAGGGTCCCCAGCTGGGAGAGGACTCAGAGAAGGCATGTCCTACAGCTGCTTCCTTCCATTCTCCCTGGACAGTCTGATCATCTCTGCCATCTTCCTATGCATATAGTGTCCATTGTGATGGCCTCAATTGAGGAAATCAAAGTAAAGCAACTTCTTCGAGGGCACAAGTTTTGAAGTTAGGACCCAGGCCCACCTATCAGATTCAGAGCATTTCAGCGCTGTCTGTTCTTACCTGGCACCTGTATGCTCAGTGACCAGAAGGAGGAGCCTCCCGGGATGCAGCTGAGCTGACAAACCCACATCTATTTCATATGTACTCCAGCCTGGATCACAGGGGTGCTCTTCGATCATTTGGGAAGCATTTTGCATCTCCTGCCTCTAGTCTTTCTTTTATCCTGTGGTGGCCCCTGGTCCAGGGTGGATAAAGAGGGATCTTTATACCTTATCATGTTATAACCTATCCCATGGCAGGAACCACTCTGCACTGGAGGGTTACAGTAGAATTTCTAGTGGTAGGAACAGTGCCGTGGGTCAACTGGTACAGCAATGGACTCCAACAATCTCTTTAAATAGATAAGTTGGACAAGAGCTTTGTACCAAGTTTAATTGGTCTTTGCTGTGTGTTTTTTTGTTTTGTTTTGTTTTTAAATAAATATCTAAGATTATTTATTATAATTTTGGCATATTCTTGGCATGAAATTTAGTCATATACAAAACACTCACTACAGGACACTCATCACTTTTTGGTTGAATTTTCAGCATTTGTGGTTCATAAGTCAAGGCAGCAAAATATACACAGTGGCAGTATAGAGTCCCATGCAAAGAACCCCTGGACCCAACAGCCAAGTGTTTTCTGGTTGTGACCCCAGAGCAATAACTGCCCCGTCCTTGGGCTGAAGAACACCCCGGAACAAGTGAGCTGGCTGGCTGTGTCTGGGAAGGTACACCCCGATTCTGCTTAGCATCCTGTACTTGGAAAAGTAATTGTTATTTCTGCCTGCGGGTAATCATCTTGACTGACAGCATTCTTTCCCTTCAAAACGATGAGCCAGCACAGAGGTAAAGCAGGAGCTGGTTCAGAGCTGAAAACCCATCCCGTGTGGACAAAGACAGACGGAAGCACAAGGCGGACCCACAGCAAGTTAGCCTTGCCTTCCCTCCCTGGGCGATCGTTCTGTGGATTTGGCACGAGCCACCGATCTGAAGGAGAAGACAAAGTCTATGGCTACGGTTGCCTTTTCTCCTCCAAGCCAACTAGTGCCTTGTTTTCCTGTGAGCCTGCCACTGTGGGAAAATTGCAAGAGTATAAAGTTTCCCTCTTTGTCCCCAGAGCACTTCATTTACCAGGGAGCCAAGTGGGGAACAGAGCCGCCTCTCACCCAGCTCATGAATGAGTCCGTTTTCTCAGGGCAGCCTCTGCCTGCCCATTGTCTAACTGTCATGCCCTCTTGTGTAGGTGCTCCCTGCCGTCTCCTCTGTTATGTAATGCCTGTGCAGGGAGCGCTGTGGGAGAGCGAGAGGAAAAACCCAGAGGACAACCAAGACCAACACAACACGTCTTCCTAGAAGAGAAACACACACACACACACACACACACACACACACACAAAAACAGAACAAACGCTAGCCGTTTGTCTGCTCTTTGGCTTTGGCTTGTTTGCCTGAAGGATACACTCTGATTGTTGGCATTCAAAGCCCCCGGCTGGCTTAAGTGAATGCTTCTGTTTATACCCATGAAATGAGACATGCTGTACCCTCGTGCCCACGCTGGTGCAGCTACCACCTAGGTCCTCCCACAAGACACGGACAAGAAGCCCTCTTCCTCTCTCTTAGGGCCTACAGCAGGGGTGGAGAACCTTTTATCTGCCAAGGGCCATTTGGATATTTTTAACATCATTTATGGGCCATACATAATGATCAACTTAAAAATTAACCTGCTATATCTGGTCAAATATTTAATTAACTCACCCCTAATGCCTGGCAGGGCCAGACCAAATGATTTCGAGGGCCTTACATGGCCTGCAGGCCAGACATTCCACACCCCTGGCCTGGAGGCAAGAACTTTCTCCCGACTCAGTCACCATTTTCTGTGCCTCCCTCTGCTGCTCTATCTCCTGCTCCGAGAATCACACATGACCTTGGGCTTGTCTATGGCAGTTTCCAGGGGGCCTTGACTCTTCATCAGAGTTCAGTGTAGAAAGGCAGCTGTCACCCAGTGTCCATGAACGATGCTCCTCTCCCTCTCACTTGCACCCTCTGGATACCAGGTTCTGGGCTTACA